GGATCTTCCGGGAAGGGAGAGGCCAGAGCCAGCCTGGCTTGCAGGCGGTTCCGGACTGGTTGCGGCGGGAAGAAGCAGCGAGCGAGCTCCTCGAGATCCAGCCCTGGTTTTGTGCTGGTGCGGAGGCCTTTCCCCGCTCTTGTCGGGTTCGGGTGCTCCCAGGAGCAAAAACCTCTTTGCTGCTGCTTCTACCCGGCGCAGGAACCGTTCCCAGCCTGCGCTGTCTCCGTCTTCCCGAAGTTTCCAAGGCGCTGGCAGCTCCCTGGAGTTCAACACGTGGCTGTTTTCTGTGCAGGCAGGAGGCCGGGGGGGCTGCTGCGGGCCTGCTGCTGCTTTGGGGGCACGTGCCTCGCGTCCCGGAGAGGGGTGGGAGCTGGTGCCTCCTGCCCAGCGGAGCAAAACGCCGCGGCTCGGCAGCCCCCCGTATCTCCAGGCTGTCCCGTGGTTATTTGGGGGGCCGCGGGCTCCCGCCTGCCTCAGGTCCCCCCCGCTCGGGAAACACTAGGGAACGGAGGGTGGACGTTAAGGGGATTTGCTTTGCTCAGCACTTTATCCTGCCTCTATCCCTCTAAGTTATTTATAAGGAAAGATTACTAATGGACTGGAGCAAGGCGAATGCCTGTAGGGTCTGATGGAAAGGATTCCGTAGCTGTGGTTAATTACAGTAATAAAAGCTGATGAATTGCAGGCAGTGTCAGGGCAGTGGTTGCTTTCGGAAACGGCGGGGCATCCAGACACTTTCTATTGATCTTTTTCTCCCCCCCTGGCGTCCGTACACCGACTTCCTCCCGGTTTTGTCAATAAAAACCTCTCGCCCTCTTGCAGGACCGTCTTCTTCCCACTCATTTCCCCTTGCTTTCTTGCTTTCAGCTTTCCTAAGGGGCCCGTTTGCGTGGGGCTCTTCGGCATCAGCCCGCCTCTCCCCTCCTCTGACACCGTCCTGCGTTTTCCCCCCCGCGCCTGGGAGGTGCCTGGTCGAAGGAACGGCACTGGTGGCGTTGGAAGGAAGAGAACGAGACATAATTACTAGAAAAAAACCCCCAGTTTTATTACAACTCATTAAATATCTGACTTGTTCTCGGTATTTCTGCCCTCCCCGTGCTCCTCGCGTCGGTGCTCTGC